TTCAAATGCCCACACCGATCTCTTGTTATTTGTAGACCATTAATTAAACGATTATAATTGATTTCTTGATCCATGATTAATTTAGAAATTTTATCTACAAAAAATTAAATTAAATTAAAATAAAGGTTGACAATTCATATAGTGCTAAAAAATACAATAAGTACTACGTAAACAAATTATTTTATATTACTTATTTTATATAGTAATTTGATATTTAACAGTAAAACAATTACATAAAAATAATAAATTTATAATAATATATAATAAAATATCAAATAAAATAATAGAAAATACATTAAAATGCAGTTTTGCATAAATGTAAAAAAATATTACATGACAATCACAATTGTCACAATTGTTATTAAAATATTGAAACACTTAGCAGTTGTCGTTTTCAAACCAAGAAATTAATTTCTAAAATGACTTTTTTTCTTAATTTTTAAACTTCAACTTAATTTCTACATCTAAGAAAACCTGAAAATAGATTAATCCGTGTTGCTTTATGGTATATGTAATCGTAGGAGTTGGGGGGTAGATTATATAGATAATTCGTAAACTAAAATTCTCTTTTAAAAATCATACCTAAAAATACCCAAAGATTTGGATGAAGTGTTCGCATCATTTGTGACATAGTGCTGTGAAATGATTCTACAAGATTATTGGTTCTTATTGGGCATCCATATACGCTAACTTTTTTCGACAGTGGAAGCCACGTGTTTCTCATATAATTCATAAAAAACAATATGTTAGGATAATTATTAGATTCCTCATCCGCGATTTTTTGCATGAGATTTAAACCTTCGGCAAACATTTCTGGCGGTGCTAATGCCAACGTCATGGCCATGGATATTATTTTATGCGGTGCTGCAAGAAGTTCTAACGATTTCCATTTTCTCACAAGTGCCTAAATTAAGAAGAAATAAAATATATAGCAATATACATTTAGAGTAAAATAATTTCAATTCGTTAATATTTATAAAAAAATTCTATAATTGATAATAATCCATAAAAAACAAAGTAATAGTTTCAATTAAAATTTTATTTACTTGGCAGTAGTGAAACCAACAACCNTTCAGAGTTGCATTTGGAAATTGTTCATGAATAGTATTTGTTAATGCCTTCTCAAAGTCTGTTATTATAAAAGACAGATTGGATTGTAAGTCAGGAACTATTTTGACAATTTCTTTCCAAATTGATTTGTAAACAAATTGTGTTTTGGCTTCACAAAGAATAAATAGCACTGCAATACCCTAAACAATATAATACACAATTAAAACATAAAATAAATGTATATAAAATAAAAAAATATTGTATAACAGTAATACCTTGTCCATATATCGCACATGCAATGAAACCAGCTGTGTGAACTTCGGTGTTTTGGGTACAATCTGAAATAAAATAGGTTCAACAAACAAAATTTCTGCAATATACATTGATAAGAAATTGCTTATTATTATTGCTTATTATTGTTTCAACAGTACATACTTACAGAAAATGTAACATCTACAAAAATTTCAGAGCTTCTTCCTAATATCTCTAAAAGTTTATTATTAGTAAAGATGTAAGAATAGTTGTTATCTTCAGATATTACACAACCTTTATAAAAAGATATTGTTGGTTCATAATGCTGAAAAAAATTGTCAAGATCGCACATGGCTTCAGGCAATGGAGGTCGTATTTTTTTTTTCTCTCTTAGTAACAAAGATTTTACAGCAGTAAATGAAATATTTGCTGCTACATTAGGATTCTTTCGAGAAACAGTAGTGTATATTTCTTTGTTTGTCGCTGCTGTTTCCTTACACATTTTTATCATTTCTTTCTTTAAATTAAAAATATCAACAACATGTGGTTCGCTTAAATGGTTATGAACCTTTTTTAAAATAAATTTGTCTTTGTTTTTAATTAGCACACCATNACATGAAATAATGCGTCTTTTTGCACAGCGATATATATGAGTATATCTTTTATCAATATGATATGTGTATCCTTCATATATATACAAATAACTATCTTGTCTTTTTCCAGTTATTATTTCCATTTTTGTCCTGTAAATGTAATAAATGTTTTTTTCTACATAAATATTCATTTTTATAGTATTTTAAAATAAGACTATGGTGTACTATTTATTATATTTTTATTACATAAATGTAGTAAACTTTTAATATAGATTTAATGAGGTATATTACTGGCAAAAAATTGAAACTTAGTAACAATAAAAGAAACGTTGCAAAGCTGGTCTCGAAAGTTTCTTCATCTAAGCACAATATTAATACTTATAGTATTTAATCTTACGTTTGATATAATTAATTGATGTACTATCAGAGTATTTAATATAAATATACTATTGATTTAGTTTGGTGCTTTCTTCTTCTACTTTGCTTATAAATAACTTGACGCCCATATATGTAATACCAGAGAGAAACCTGAGAGCGGCCATCCTATTGTAATTTTTTACGACGGTTTCAGCCGCTGGTTTTAGCCGTATTTCCACAAAAGTGGAACTCAAA